AGCAACGTGATCAAAGTCACGAATACAAGCACAACCAAAGCCACGAATAACAAGCGCAGCCACTTCTTTAAATTTTACGCACTCCTTGATACAATTGTGCATAATTCAGCTTTAATCTTTATTATTTTGGGCTTATAAAGTTACACTTTTGCAAGGTTGGTTTGGTCAAATAGTTAAAGTCTCCAACCACTTGAAAGTACTTTGGAAGGATTTGAAGATAAAAGTTGCTTAAGAATTATATTATGATGATCAAAGAACAAATAGAGGCCAAATTATAGGTAAAACTCCTCATTTGAGCCAAAAGAACTAATTAGCAAGGATTTGAAATCAATTTACTATTAGCAAATGAAACATATATTTTTCCAACAATAAAATTGTTGGTGGACTCAGTCTAATGGGCCATGGGCCTAAAAACCCTAATCCCATATCAGATTTTATTCTGCAGATCTATTTCTATTTATGAGCTAAATTGTGATTTTGATTTGATCGTATTTTGAATTCTATTCTAGATTCCTAATATCTCGGCTAGACCCTAGATTAGTGGCCTAATAACGTCTCTAGCTGAGAAGATTTGTATCTATTTAATCCTATTAACTCATTTGAATAAACATACAATTCAGAATCAAAAGATTCTTGGTGGTATCAGAGCAAAAATGATTAGGTTTGCGATAGGGTTCAACGATGAGGGGCAGAACAACGCTAGCATTCCAATAAGGCACCCATCGTGACTAGTAGCAGCGGAGTCACCAGCGCCAAACTGAATCCCACCCATGTCAATACCATTCGCTGGTTGAATGGACAAAACTACATGCAATGGTCCTCTAGTGTGCGACTATATATTATGGGAAAAGACAAGTATGGCTACCTGATTGGATCAATCCAAAACCTACCACCACCTATGAAAAGTATGCCACATGGGAAGCTGAAAACTCCATGGCAAAAGCTTGGCTAATCAATTTTATGACAAATAAATTAGTGCCCACTTTACATTCGTCCAAACAGCTAAGGAAGTATGGGACGCAACAAGAACATGTTCGCTGGACTTAAAAAACAAAGCTATCATTTTGGATATTGAGAGATTTCTCCATGATTTCAAGAAAGCTAATCTCTCTATAACTTAGTACCATACTGACTTGGTTGTTCAATGACAACAGCTTGATATGTATGAAACCTATGACTAGAAGTGTACTAGAGATGTTGCCTTGTATGCAAAAATAAAAGAAAAAAAAAAGATCTTCAAATCTGATGCATCGTTTGAAGAAGTACGAGGAAGAATTATCAGACTTGACTCCCTGTCACCTGTAAGGGAAGTATTCTTTACTGTGAGGAATGAAGAAAGCAGAAAGAAGCTCACTTCAATGACCTAATGACAGAATCCAACTAACCAAATGCACTTGTATCAAAAGGCGCCTATCAAGATGACTCGAGACAACAAATGGTGTGATCACTATAGAAAGAAAGGGCAGAGACATGCTGGCAATTACATGGCAAGCCCTTGAAGAAAGGAAGACAAGATGGTCAAGGCTATTCTGGAATTGTTGACAGCAAGAACAAACTAGAATTTAGCAAAGAAGAATTAGACTTACTCAGCAAGTTTCTAGAAAAACATGACTCAAAAGAGACCACCCTTACAGCTGGGTATATTACCCATACAGGTAAAACTATTCTGACACTAAAAACTAACATCATTCAAGATTATGAATTGTGGATTAAGGAGTAACCAGTCACATGACCAGCAACCAAGAGCTTTTGACTGACATTAGACCATGCCCTATGAACATCTCTGTTAAAGTTGCAGGTGGTAAAGCCTTAAGAGTTGAAGGGCTTGGAACAGCATATATAACTCCTAAAATAATTCTGTACAATATGTTTTATACTCCCGGACTAAAATGCAATTTGCTATCTGTGATAACTATGACTTAGAACCAAACTTCGATGTTAACTTTTCTACCACTGAATGTGTTTTTCAGGATCTAAAGCAAAGGAAGTCGATTGGCACAGCTAAGATACTTGAAGACCTCAAATGTTTGGAAGTCCAAGGAAGAAGCTTCAAGGATGCTGTTACTATTGAGAGGAAAAACAGAACAGATTCATTCATGAAAAACAGAAATGACCTCAGGTACATACTAAGTAGCCTCCTCACTCAAGCCACGTCAGCAGCCATACACTCTCTCTCCTGTAACTAACCTGATAGCATGAATATTCGCTGACCTGATAGCTAATTACATAAAGGTCCCCTCGTGTATTATTTACCCTAATAGAATTACCATATACCATATAACAATATACTTCCCCCCCCCTAAAAAACATCCTTGTCCACAAGGATGGATGTAGCTTGAGGAGCCGTAGTAGCAAAATGAGGGAACTGCTGCTTGATGGTTGTGAGGTCCTCCCATGTTGCATCTTCTGGTTGAGTAAATTTCCAGCGGATTAGAACCTGAGTGACAGGCATGTTATGTCGTTTCACAAGCTTCCTCCCTAGTATCTCTTCTGGTTCAAGCGAAAATTGCCCTTGGGCATCAACGGGGGGTAAGGTTGGAGACGCATGATCAGTAGTACCAGTATGCTTTTTCAATAAAGAGACATGGAATACAGGGTGTATCCTAGTATCTGCCGGCAACTTCAATTCATAAGCAACACTGCCCACCTTCTTAGTAATCTGAAAAGGTCCAAAATAACGAGCTGCCAGCTTGTGCAGCGAAGAATTATTAAGCAGATTCTTGCGGAAAGGGTGAAGCTTTAGATATACCCTATCTCCTACCTCAAAATGTCGTTCAGATCTGTGCTTGTTGGCCTGATTAACCATCCGGTGTTGAGCCTTTAGTAGGTGCTGTTTAAGTAATTGCAGAACTAACTCCCTAGCCATGCAAGTTCGGTCCACAACATCATTAGGAGAATCCCCAGAAATATAAGGTAGATGGGTAGGAGGAGCCATGCCATAGACAGCTTCAAAGGGGGTCATCCCAATAGCTGAATGATAAGTTGTGTTATACCATAATTCTGCTAAGGGCAGCCACTTAACCCACTGTTTCAGAAAGTCACCAGTCATACAGCGGAGATAACACTCCAAACAACGGTTTAGAACCTCAGTTTGACCATCCGATTGAGGGTGATAGGCAGAAGAATAGTTCAAATTCACACCATATAAGCGAAATAATGATTTCCAGAATTTCCCACAAAAAATAGGGTCACGATCAGAAACAATTGATTTAGGAAATCCATGCAATTTCACCACATTATCCATAAAGACTTGGGCCACTTCCACAGCTGTATACGGATGTTTCAAAGCCATAAAATGGGCGGCCTTAGACAACCTATCCACAACTACTAAAATAGTTGTCTTAGCATAAGACTTAGGCAAGCCACTAATAAAATCCATAGACAATTCAGACCAAACATGTTCAGGTATTGGGAGGGGCTGTAAAAGACCTGGAGAAGCTACCAGTTCTGGTTTAAATCGTTGACAAGTATGGCACTCTCGAACGTAGTTGCGCACATCCTTTTCCATCCCCTTCCAGTAAAAAATAGAAGAGAGGCGCCTGAAAGTAGGTTGCATTCCTGAGTGGCCTCCAATTCCATCACCATGAAAATAAGAGAGCAATTCACGCCGTAGGTTACAATCAGCCCCTACCACCAATTTCCCCTTCCTTTTTAAGAGACCATGCTGCCATGTGAATTTAGGATGGGATAAGGGGTTGGACTCAATCTCCTTGATCAATATCTGCAATTCATCATCAACCAGCCATGAGTCACGTACCCTGTCATAAAGAGGTGACACTGGTGCAGAAATAGCAGCAATAGTTCCTTCTGAACGCCTGGATAATGCATCAGCAGCAGCATTTTCACTGCCTTTGCGGTATACAATGTCAAAATCCAAGCCCCACATTTTGTGCAACCACTTAAACTGAATCTGATTCAGATCGCTTTGCTCCAGTAAATGTTTTAAAGGCAAATGATCTGTCTTTATGACAAACTTCCGACCCCATAGGTAAGAACGCCATTGTTTGACAGCAAACACAATGGCTAATAGTTCTCTCTCGTAAGCAGATAATGGCTTCCTCTTGGGAGCAAGGGCCTTACTTACAAATGCTACTGGATGCCCTCTTTGAGACAAGACAGCACCTATACCAAAACCAGATGCATCGGTTTCAATAACAAAAGTGTCATCAAAATTGGGGAGAGCAAGCACCGGGGGAGAAATCATGGCCTGCTTGAGTGCTTGAAAAGCAGATTCTGCTTCCTTTGTCCACAAGAAAGCCTGGTCTTTCCTTAAGAGATCGGTCAGGGGTTTAGCTAGTGTACCATATTGCTGCACAAATCTGCGATAATACCCTGTGAGACCCAAGAACCCTCTTAACTCTTTCAAGGAGCTAGGTATTGGCCAAGAGGAAATGGCTTCTAGCTTCCGAGGATCTGCTTGAACTCCTTGTTCTGATATTATGTGTCCCAAATAATCAATTTGCCTAGCTGCAAAGGTGCATTTTGAAGCCTTGGCAAATAATTTCTGCTGCTGTAGGGTGACCAAGGTCGTTTCTAAATGCTGCAAGTGAGATTGCCAATCCTTGCTGTAGACTAAAATGTCATCAAAAAAGACTAGGATAAATTTCCGTAGATAAGCTTTAAACACAGAATTCATCAATCCTTGGAAAGTGGCCGGGGCATTCGTTAGCCCAAAGGGCATGACCATGAATTCATATAACCCCTCATGAGTGCGAAATGCAGTTTTGGCAATGTCTTCCACCCTCATCCTAATCTGATGGTATCCAGCCCTTAGGTCCAGTTTAGAAAAATAGGTAGCACCTGCCAGTTCATCAAGCAGCTCTTCTATAACTGGGATAGGAAACTTATTTTTAACAGTAGCATCATTGAGCCTCCGGTAGTCAACACAGAATCTCCATGTTCCATCTTTCTTTTGCACTAGAACAACAGGAGCAGCAAAAGAGCTACTGCTTTCTCTAATGACACCATTACTCAGCATCTGTTGTACCTGGTGTTCAATCTCAGCTTTCTGAAGAGGCCCATATCTATACGGTTTGCAGCTAATAGGTTTATCCTCTTTAAGGGGAATGGCATGATCAAACCTACGAGGTGGAGGTAACTCCTTAGGCTCATCAAAGACTGGAGTATATTTATCTAACAAGTGTTGTAGGTCGGAGCGCTGTGTTGGTGTTAAATCTGAATTGAAACTCAATTTCAGCTGTAGCTGAGAGGGAATGTGAATGAGGAAGATATGCGGAGCCACTACTAATTCCTTGGAAGCACTCAATTCATTAGCTGGCACAGGATTCTTGCAACCCAGGCCTCGTAATTCTACAGTCTGACCTTCCCATTTAAATTCGAACAGCTTTAATTCCACATCCATAGAGAAACGCCCCAATTTTCTCAACCACTGGGTACCCAGTATCGCATCATACCCTCCTATCTTCATAACCAAGAAATTATCACAGAAGGTGTATCCCCCCATATCCCATGACAAATCGGGACAGTGCTTAGTAACACTCACCTTGCGAGAGTCAGCTACAGTTAATGTGACCTCCGGTCGTTCATGAATCCTCAAGTTAAGCCTCTTAGCCATGGCGGAGTTAATCACATTATGTGAGCTGCCCGTGTCAATTAAGATGATGATTCGCTGCTTCTTGATGTGCCCAACCAATTTCAGGGTAGCCACGTCCTCTCTGCCTTCAATGGCGTTAAGCGTGCCATAGGAATCAGGGGCCACTTCATCCAGAGCGTCTTCAAACTGTTCATCAGCATCCTCAATCAGTAGAGAGAAGACGTGTGTCTCTTTGCAGCGATGAGAAGGAGTGTATTTTTCGGCACACCAGTAACATAGGCCTCTCCTCCGGTGATCATCCATCTCCTTCTTAGTAAGATGCCTGGTGGGCTTGGACGCTACCGAGGACGAAGAAGGGGGAGTGACGGCCAAAGATTTAGACGCAGGCGACGATGGCGTTTTGGATTTGTCGGGTCCAGTGGAACTGTCAGGAAATGGGCCGGACTTCAAGCCCACATTGCCAGAGCTCTTCGGATAATTGCCAGCCCAAGATGTCTTTCGAAGAGGACCGTGGTCATGCAACGCCTGAACGACCGCTTCTTGCATCCTCGCCGAACACGCAGCACTTGCCAGAGAAGAAGGCGTAAAGTTTGAAACCAGCTTCTGGATGTCATCTCGCAACCCACCGATGAACAAATTAACAGCGACACTTTCGGGAATATCAACCTCTGAAAGAAGTTCATCGAATTTCTTCTCGTACTCCTGAACCAGTCCGTCCCCTTGCTGAAGCCGCTTGAGAGTTATCAATGGATTTTCCTCGTGCACATTAGAAAATTTCGCTTCCATGCTACGGAAATACTCATTCCACCCAACCTCAGAACAGGACCGGTGTTTCATGAATGTTTGGTGCCAACGTAATGCGTGACCCTCCAAATGAATCGACAACAAGCGAATGCGTTGATCTTGAGGTGTGCCGTCCACCTCGAAAAATTGCCTACACCGGTAAGCCCAGCCTCTGAAGTCCTCTCCGTCAAATTTGGGAAACTCGATTCTGGTTTGTCTCGTCGGCACCACATACGGAGGAGGAGGCAGTGTAAGAATCTCACTGAAGGTGCCGAAAGGAGGAACACGAGGTGGTGTGATAGCACGAGAGGCACCTTCGCCGTTGGTGGAGGCAGGACGTTTCCCGGCATCGGACAGCTTAGCAGAGATATCTTTGAGATAACCTTCAAGGCGAGCATTGGTGGTTTTGAGTTCAGTGATGTCCAGAGAATGCTGCTCCAATCGTGAGTGAATGGAGTCGATGGTTCCCTGTTGCAGATCAAGTCGTTGCTCCAAGTCGCTGAAGCGTTCCGATGATCGTGTCTCCGACATTGCACCGGAGGTGGCTCTGATACCTATTTGTTACTATTGAGAGGAAAAACAGAACAGATTCATTCATGAAAAACAGAAATGACCTCAGGTACATACTAAGTAGCCTCCTCACTCAAGCCACGTCAGCAGCCATACACTCTCTCTCCTGTAACTAACCTGATAGCATGAATATTCGCTGACCTGATAGCTAATTACATAAAGGTCCCCTCGTGTATTATTTACCCTAATAGAATTACCATATACCATATAACAGATGCTGTCTCAAATAATGTGCAGTTGTCTTCAGTTTTTCTGCTACTCTAAAAAATATTGTTATGGCACCATAGACTAGGGCATCCTAATTTCCGTTATATGTCAAAAATATTTCCTCATCTTTTAAATAAGAATGATTTTTCTGTTACCTGTGAAGTGTGTCAATTTTCAAAACAAACCAAAGCCACCTACAAACCATACTCTCGTCAATATTCAAAACTCTTTCAATTTATTTATAGTAGTATTTGGGGACCTTCTCGGACACTCACTCACCCGTGCAAAATGGTTTGTCACTTTTATTGATGACCACACACGCCTAACCTGGGTATTCCTAATGAAAAAAAAATCTGATCTACCTACCATTTTTACCAAGTTTCACAAAATGATCCTAACACAATTTCAAACACCAATCCTTACCCTCTGTAGTAACAATGGACGTGAGTACATGAGCCATACAATTCAAAACTACATAAGAGACCATGGAATCATCCATCAAACTAGTTGTGATAATACTCCCCAACAATATGGGACAACCAAGCACAAAAATAGACACATATTGGAAGTTACCCGATCACTCATGTTCACTCACAATGTTCCTAAACAATATCGGGGGGAAGCAATTCTTACTGCAATACCCTTGACAAACAAACTTCCTTCTAAGACCCTTAATTACCAAACCCCAATAAGCCTCCTCAATAAATCCTACCCTGGCAATTCCCTCACTGATGATCTTGCTTTTAAAGCGTTTTGATGCATTGTTTATATTCGTCACAGACATGGGGGGGAACTTGATCCTAGAGCTCTTAAATGCATCTTTTTAGGATACTCATCTACTTAAAAGGGTTACAAATGCTACTCCCCATTCCTGCGAAAATTCTTTATTACAATGGATACTAAGTTTATTGAAACCCAAGCCTTTTATCCTAAATCTCCCATTTAGGGGGAGAAGCTCAGTGAATGGGAGTTCCTAACCTCAGATACACCCTCAGATAAACCTGATGTAAACCACTTCATTACCCCAGCACCTGAAACAAACATTCCAGCACCTGAAGAAATTATTCCTGAACCTGCAACAGCCATCTCTAACCCCGAAACAAATTCTCAACAAACCTCCAATCGACCTTTTTTAGGGACCGAAGCTGAAACAGATTCCTCTCAACCCAAGACCAACTCCTATGCTCTTACTCCTAGTATAGTGCCTAATGATGCAATACAGGATGTGGCTGAGGAAGAATCTGATGCGGAAATTGATCAACCTGAGGAACAACATATACCAAACAGTGGGGGCCCTTCTAGTTCTAAACAATGTCAAGAGTCGACTCACTCTACATCCTATCAGTCATTTTGTTTCTTACAACAGATTATCTCCACGTATGAAAAGTTTCATCACTAGGATTGACAAAGAACAGATTCCATCTACTTTTAATGAAGCGGTTAAGGACCCCAGATGGAAGGCAGCTATCAATGACGAACTAAAAGCTCTTGATAAAAATCGAACATGGAGAGTAGAGTCTCCCTCTTGGGAAAAAAACTGCAGGATGTAAGTGGGTTTTCACAATTAAATACAATCGTGACAAATCAATAGGCAAATCCAAGGCAAGATTGGTGGCAAAAAGGTTTTCTCAAACAGATGGGATCAACTCTCAAGAAACATTTGCACCAGTAGCAAAATTGAATACCATAAGGATATGTTGTCCTTAGCAACCAACCTTGATTGGCTACTCAATCAATTAGATGTAAAGAACGCATTTTTTAATGGAGAACTTGAAGAGGAAGTGTACATGAAAGTACCCGAAGGACTTGCGAAACATGGAGACTTGAGAAAGGCATGCCGATTGTATAAATCTGTTGAGTCCAGGCCCAAGTACATCTATATTAGGAGGAAGCCCAATGTTGTGAGAGGGAGTGGCAGTTAGAGGAGAGAGAAGGAGAGCCTATATATGTCAGACGGTTTGTTAGAGTAGGCATGAAAGAATTGAGCTGAGTGGGAGGGTGGTGTCTCGAATTCACCGTGGGTCTTGTGACCGAGCTGTTTTTCCTTTTCCGTTGTATTTCCTCCATTAGATCATACTCTGTGGAGTGCTTACGTTTCACTGAATAAGACGTACTGGAGTAATTTCCCAACAAAGGTATCAGAGCTTCGCGACCTGGAATGGTTAGCACGAGAACAATGGATGAATTAAGTTCTCAAATGTCACAGAATGAAGAACGCATTGGGCAGCTCTCTGACGATATGGTGACTCTCAAGTCAATGGTACAAGACATATTATCCAAGCTGCGCTCGAAAAAGGATTCAGTGAATGACGAACAATCTCCTGCAGATTCGGCTATACCAAAAACCGGGACCTCGGAAACCAAGGTTGTTGAGATTGAAAACCAGGATTCACCCAATTCAGTTTACCGTCGGTTAGACATGCCAATGTTCTCTGGAGAAGAACCGTTGGGATGGATTTTTCAGATTGAGCGATATTTTCGAGTAAATAAAGTCCCCGAGGGAGACAAACTCGACGCTGCTGTCCTTTGTTTGGAAGGCCGAGCCCTCAACTGGTTCCAGTGGAAGGAAATGCGATCTCCAATGGCGAGTTGGGCAGATCTGAAACGTGATTTGGTTTTCCGTTTCCATCCGTCTCAATATGGTAACACGTATGAGATGTTGATGGCATTGCGTCAAAATCGATCGGTGGCCGATTATATTGAGCGTTTTGAACTGATTTCAGCGACCCTGGAACGATGTTACAATGAGGTGTTAATCGCTGCGTTTTACAATGGTTTGAAAATGGAAATTAAGGCAGATTTACGACTCATGAAGCTGGATTCACTGCCCGAACTCATGGACATGGCTCTTCGGTTGGAGGAAAGGAATTTGATTATGACCCAATACCCAAACCCACGCGGAGCTGGGCCTAGTCGTTATTGGTCCGAAGACAGAGGTTCTGGGTCACGGACCTACATCAGTCGAGCCCAACCTGCAGCCGACTCAACCACCAGAACCACAAATTCCAGCACTGGGAATTCTATTTCCGATTCGAAAAACGCTGAGTCCTCTAAGTCAGTTTCCATCCCAGTGACGTATACAAGCAAGATGGTTCCGAAGAAATTCACTGATGCGGAGATTGAACGAAGGCGTGAGTTGGGGCTTTGCTTTAAGTGCGATGAGAAATTCCGTCCCGGCCATCGTTGCAAGAAGAAGCAGTTGCAGGTCTTGATCCTGTCCGAGGACGTTGAGGAGGGCGAAGATTCTGAGTCGTTACAGGAAGCGCCGAAGTTGACGAGTAGTGACAGGCAACCTGAAGAAACCACGGCCCCAAACGAGCAATTGATGTCACTATCATTAAATGCTCTCGCCGGATTCACAAGTAGTAAGACGATCAAGCTTATGGGTTCTGTTCAAGGTAAGGACGTCCTCATCCTCATTGATTGTGGAGCTACCCATAGCTTCATTCACCAGGATTTGGTCCGCGCGCTGTCTCTTCCTCTGGCTTCCAACGTCGCTTTCACCGTTCAGGTGGGAGATTCTCGACATGTGCAAGGGCGGGGCGTTTGTCACGATGTGTCAATCTTGGTCCAGGGTCTCCATATAGTACACTCCCTCTATCCCTTGAAGTTGGGTGGTTCGGATATCATTTTAGGTGCGGACTGGCTAGCTTCTCTGGATGAGGTCTTGGTGAGTTGGAAGCGATCTACTCTGAAGATTGATATGGGTGATGAATGGATATGCCTCAAGGGTAAACCAGCGCTACTGAGGACTTCAATGTCTTTCAATTCCTTGTACCGTTCAACCTGGGGCGATGAGGAAGTTTTCTTGGTGGAATTCTCAGAATTACAATTAACGGAACTTACTGTCGTCTTCATGCCAGAGGATGTGCAACTCTTACTTAAGGAGTTCCCTGAAGTCCAGAAACCTTTGACGGACTTACCTCCTGCTCGAAAAGCTGACCACACTATAGAGCTTCAGCCAGGAGCCTCACCACCGAACATCCGACCTTACAGATATCCCCATCATCAGAAAACGGAAATTGAGCGTTTGGTTAAGGAGATGCTGACTGCTGGCATCATCCGTCCTAGCAAGAGTCCCTTCTCCAGTCCTGTGTTGCTAGTTAAAAAAAAAGATGGGAGCTGGAGATTCTGTGTTGATTATCGGGCTTTAAACAAGCTCACGATTCAAGATAAATTTCCTATACCGGCTATTGAGGAGCTACTGGATGAACTGGGTAGTGCACAAATTTTCTCCAAATTAGATTTAAAATCTGGATACCATCAGATTCGTATGAAGGAAGGCAAGGAATCGAAGACTGCATTTCGTACTCACGATGGCCACTATGAATTCTTGGTCATGCCCTTTGGTTTGAAGAATGCTCCTTCTACATTTCAGTCTCTCATGAATGATATTTTCCGACCACATCTACGCAAGTTTATCCTGGTTTTTTTTTATGACATTCTTGTTTATAGTGGTGATAGGTTAACACACTTGCAACATCTTCGGCTTACTTTCCAGATTCTCCATCAATATGCATTAGTTATTAATTCCAAAAAATGTGTTTTCGCTCAACCTCAGCTGGAATACCTCGGCCATATCATTTCAAAGGAAGGGGTGCACGCAGATCCTTCGAAAGTTGCTAGCATGATGTCATGGCCAGTACCGACTACTCTTAAGCAACTCCGAGGATTCCTTGGATTAACTGGTTATTATCGGCGTTTTGTCTGCCATTACGGCATGATGGCTGCCCCGTTAACCGCTTTGTTGAAGA